CTGCTTCGCTTTGCAGTGTGGCACGCACTGCAGAGATTCACAACTACCACGAAACTATTTTAATAACATCAACAACAGGAACAGCAGCAACAGCAATAACAACTGCTACTGCTACTTACCAACCACTTGGAACTCCTCTCCCGTTGACTCGTCCACTCCCTTCATCTCTTCACGGGCTGTCTGCTCCACCGTGTCCAGAACTTTCTTTCGGAACTGATCAGTACTTAGTGCCAGATAGGTAACGCCACCGCCTGGAACATACCCAGTTTCAATAGCTGCTCGTACTGCATTGATTGCATCTTCGTACCGCAGCTTCTTCTCCTTTTGCTCGGTCTCCGTAGATGCGCCAATCTGCAAATATCTCGCACCCCGTGAAAGCCAGATGCGCTACCAGCCAATATGCTCAACGAACATATAAACTAAAAAGACTTCACACAACAATTCCCTCCAGTCACGGCTGCTGAGGCATCCAACGATCTGCGCGATGCTTACCATGATCCTTGCAATGCCTCCTGACAGAGCAGCAATGCGCTCGCCTAACTTCTCCTTGTCGAACTTCGAAGTGGCCGTCTCCATTTCGCCCTGAAGTCTCTGCACTCTGAAACAAGAACTCAAAGCGCCCAAAAGTAACCACTGCGCATCGTCCTCGTAGCGGCGATCAGCGAATGCAGAAGCAGAAGCATTGCATGATAAAGATTATATGAATATGTATCATATACATATATTTGTGCATTATATATATAAATATATTTCGTTCACCTCTCTTGGATCTGTTCCTGGAACTCAGGCCTTGTTAAGATGGATGTCCTGTCTTTTCTCACTACAACTCCTTGAGCGCTGCCGATATGCTCAGCTGTCGCCTCTTCTAAAGGTAGACCCAAATCCTTAGATATTAGTTGGGCGTTTGTTGCCACTGCAATGTCGCGCAAGTAGTCCTTCCGGCGCTCGCCAAACGAAGGGGCCCGGATAGTCACCTGAAAGCACACATACGTTAAGACTGTCATGTATGTTTACGCTGCACTTTCGCACCTGCATATTCCCCTCTAGAAACCTCGTCCGGGTTGCTGAGCCGCATGGCGCGTTCCGTGAGTGTTTGTGCGTGTGCTGTCTCGGGTGAGCTGAGCTGAAGCCGAATCCTTTGCGCACCACTTTGAGGAGCCTCCTCATGCTGTTGATGATGCAGGTTTGGAGCATGTCTGTGGAGAAGTCCTCAGCAATGATGACCAAAGGCTCTTTGGTCCTCACGAAATGCTCAAGAATTGGAAGCATTGCTTGCGCACTCTCAATCTTGTAATCGCAGACCATGACGTGCGGGTTCTTCCACTCGATGAAGTCTGCTTCTTCGCCCAGCAAGAAGTAGGGGGAGCTGTAGCCTCTTTCAAACGTGTAGCCTTCGGTAAATTCAAGCTGCAACAACAGCGACAATGCCACACTGTCCGTGCAGTATATAGTGGGCGTGGACGCTGCGGTCCACCTTCACCCGCACACACGTGCAGCATGACCAACGTGGGCTTTTGCGAATCATAGTTGGCTTATTCTCCTACATTGTCCTCTTGCGATGGATTGTTCTCCAGGACTATGGCTGCGTGGTTGCCGAGTTTGTCGAAAGCCTTGGCAATTACTTCGCCCATCGACGCATTCCCGCTCGTGGCGACAGTGGCGATGTTCAACAAGTCGCCGAAACCATTTACGGGTTTTGCGAGCTTCTTCACTTCGTCCATCATGATACGCGCAGCCTTCTGAATTCCGCGCTGCAACGGGATGGGGTTGTGTCCCTGGTTCACGTACTCAACTCCCTGCACACGGAAAATACACAAGTGGTGACTGCAGCAAATGGAGGCCAGATTATACATCGACTGGTAATGCGCGCAGCGCAACGAGGAGACAAAACACACCTTCTTTGCGATTTCAGCCGTAAGGATAGTTGTGGAGGACGTTCCGTCCCCGGCCCACTCATCTGACGTCGATGCCACTTCTTGCACGAGTTTCGCCCCAGCATTGTGCGCCCTATTCGGCAGTTCAATATTGCGTGCAATCGTAACCCCATCATTCACAATTAACGGAGGTCCGTAGTCCTTTTCCAAAAGAATATTGCGTCCACGAGGTCCAAGGGTGACCTAATTGACATACATGAAGGGCAATGTGCATGAAAGTGGAAGAAGGCCGTCGCTACACCCGAAAGCTCGGGGTGGACAGCACTGTGTGACATCCACTTTTAGCTTACACGAACAGCATTGGCAACTTGTTGAATCCCCTCC